AACTACTTGTTGGGGGGGTTCCCAACAATTAGTCTTTACACCCAGTGCAAAAGGTTAAACTATGTTATAAGCTCATAAACGTTATCAAAGATGAGAGCAGTGGTTCCCAATAATGAGTGTCGTCACCCAGTGCAATACAATCCGTGTGTTTTAGTTATTAGTTCCTTAAAGAGTGATTTTCCCTCTAAACATGTGAGATGATTACATTTCAATAAGTGTGTCACATTACATATAAGCAAGAAAACCTCCAAAAATGACTTCTGCAGATTTATCTGGTGATCCTCAGGACTGGGCAGGCCCCAAGAACTCTGGACCACTAGACCGTATTCAGGGGTTGAGATCAGCTCCACCTCAGCCAGATCTAATATTTAGATGCTGCCTATGCCTCAGTGTGTCCGTATTAACAATCTTCTAATGTCACATTTGTTAATCAGTCACAAATGACATTTTTCTGCAGGACAAATACTCTTGTTTTTGATGCTTGTTGTCATAACATTTCTGTACTTTTATTAATAGAAAGGGCATTTTATGAGATTTTTCACAAATCTGCCAACTAAATCGTTTCCAAACAACTTCTTCACCAATATGTTTGTAAAGGTGTGTAACAACATGCCTTCAAATGTTGAAGTTCAACTCCCGTGGGAAACCCTGAAAAACACCTGCTCAAGTTAGGGTGCCGATAGCCAATTGACGAAAAATCCATTTTACAATTTCTATGTGATTAATATTTTTAAAAAAACAATATCAGCAGACCTGGTGAAACTCAAAGATGAACTTAAAACACTGTCTGAATCAGTGCAGTGTTTGTAAAAATGACATTTCTTCTAAACTGGTATCTTCACCCACTGGCTGTGAGAAAACATGAAATCAGCTGTTGCTAAATGTCTGAACTAATCATTAACAAATGAAATATGTGACGTTTTCTTCTTTTTATGTCCATTTTGTAGGATTTATGATTGGCAGATTTTGATGTTTTTCCCTTACTACAAGGCTTGCTGGTTACTTGACCTCACAGTGTCACTCGTCACTTTAGCACTGAAATAAATAGCAACAACTAGGACACAATGAAGAATTTGTTGTGAATATCTTCAGAGTCTTGAGAATCTTTTCAGGTCAGTAGAGCAGCCAATTGTCCGCTTGACCGCTGATCGAGGGAGTGAATGGGCACCATCGTACCTCCACTCTTGGTCAGTCTGGAAGTTGGTTAGTGTCAATGTGTATCCACAGTTACCTGGAGTCAATTAAACAGAGAGTCGACATCTTGGTATGTTTGTTACAAAATTAATTTCCATTTGGTAATTTGACACAATACTAACATGGATCACACACTATTGTGAGTGAATGCAGTTGTGCGGCAGGAAAAATGTGAGGATCAAGTCACGTGTGTCGGGGGATTAATATGAGGACAATAAAATGATTTACTCACCAAGAAGCCGCCCATCCTGCACTGTGCCAGCTTGTAGCCTGTTCCCAACCATGCTGTCAGAATGAATGAATCCTGGGTTGATCCAGGCCACCTCGCAACAATGTTACTTCATTGCATTTGCGCATCACAGATGATCTGGACACTGACTGAATGAAAGTGCTTCCTGTTTACTTGATCATGATCATCTTGTGATGGTATGAAATCATACTTGTGCCACAATCCTGAGCGCATAAAGGGAAATGTTGAGCGCAGAAAACAATCTTGAGCAAATAAAAACTTAAACTGAGCAAATTAAGTCTGATCGGAGACGACACTGGCAGTTACCCGAGAGAGAAGGTAACACAGACAATACGAA